TCCAGCAAATATTAGTTCTTTTTTTTTTTTTTTTTTTTTTAGACGGAGTTTCGCTCTTGTTACCCAGGCTGGAGTGCAATGGCGCGATCTCGGCTCACCGCAACCTCCACCTCCTGGGTTCAGGCAATTCTCCTGCCTCAGCCTCCTGAGTAGCTGGGATACAGGCATGCGCCACCATGCCCAGCTAATTTTTTTGTAGTTTTTTTAGTAGAGACAGGGTTTCACCATGTTGACCAGGATGGTCTCGATCTCTTGACCTCGTGATCCACCCGCCTCGGCCTCCCAAAGTGCTGGGATTACAGGCGTGAGCCACCGCGCCCGGCCTTTTTCTTTAAATTTATATCAAGTTGCCTGTTGATAATTACTAACACTTAAAAACTAACAATTACTATTTTTTAAACAATTAACAGCAAGGTAATTTCTTCTCATGCTAATCAATGCTAATGAAGGTGCTTATTTGCTACTATGAATTTAATAAAGGAATAATCAAAGGTGAAATTTAAATTATTTGATTGTATTAATGTAAGTGAGTAATGTTTGTTAAGAAAATATACTAGAGTGTTGAGCACTTCTGCTGAAATTAGTTTCTCCTGTGGGTAATATGTAGTGAAATCAGGAGAATCAGAAAGATTTACAAGGCCTATTCTATAGACCTGATTTTCAGTAAGCCTTGGGGAAGGAGAAAGAGGGGGAGATAAGGAAGGAAAGTAATTTGGGTCATTTCTCCTTTTTTGGGGGGAAGACTAAAGGTGCTTATTCCAGAGGAAAGCAAGCTTTCTGGGGAATAACCCCCATCACATCTATGTGGCCTGTTGGCAGATAACTAATACGTCTGAATTATTGGTTGTATATACTGACCAGTTATTTAAAAAAGAGTGAGACAGAAGTGGCGGGAAGACTCAAGACTTTCACTGCCATGATCACAGTTTTCAGGTAACTACTGCATCCTGTTGAGCTGGAGTCAGAAACTGAAGAAGTAAAAGTTAATTATCTCAAGTCTTGGAAAACGATGAAACAAAGAGCTGTTTGACAGAAGGATGCCATTGCAAAGGTGGTGAGGGGGTCCCAATGCATTCGCCACCTTCTATGTGTAGAGAGCAACAGGTGGAAGCTGACTGGCGGTTTCGGCTTGCCGGCCCCTTGTGCCACTCTCCATGTACTGTGTAGGAACTTAACCAGGGATGACAGATTGTAAAAGGAAATTAAGAGAGCAAGGTAAAACTTTCATATAACAAAATTTAATAAAAAACCATCATAGTAGAATTAGTATTTTCATTTTAAATTTTCTTATAACTGGAAATGTGAATGGTCCACACAACGGTGAGAAATCTTAATTAGGACTGCCGATATGGTATGGATATATTTTAAAAATCAGCTTTACCAGGTTTCAATAAAGCCAGAATAAAAACAGAAGAGGCTGGTGGTAGGATAATTGAGGGTAACGATGGTCTTGCAAACTTGAGTTTAAATATTGGCCCTCACACTCTGAGCTACAGATAGTTCCTTTAGCTGTAAAATAAGGAAGATATCACCCTCATAACTTTGTGTAAAGACTAACTTAACATAAAAACATCTAACAAATGTATTTGATACATTTCATATCCTCTTCCTTCTTATATTACCTAACCCAAATCTTTTACAATATCTTATGCAAGAAAATCAAGGGACACAGACAGCTAGAGGAAAATTTAAGAAAAAACAAAATAGTTCTCATTCTATCTTCTACACAATTACAAGAAAGCATCTAGATTTGCTCTTACTGAAGCTTCCTGCTAACGAAAATGCTGGGCCATCTCCCCCGTCCTGCAGAATGGGACAGCCTCAGAAACAAACCTGCTGCTGAGGTGTAGATCCAATCTTAAAATGGTTTCCCCTGAGAACTGGAACAAGACAAGGATGCCTACTTCCATCACTTCTGTTCAACATAGTACTGGAAGTCCTAGCCAGAGCAAACAGAGGGCATCCTACTAGGTAAAGAGGAGGTCAAACCATCACTGTTTGCTGATGACATGACTGTATACCTAGAAAACCCTAAAGACTCATCCAGTAAGCTCCCAAATCTGACAAAAGACTTCAATAAAGATTTAGAATACAAAATTAACATACCCAAATTAGTAGGACTGCTATGCACCAACAACGACCAAGCTAAGAATCAAGAACTAATACCTTTTACAATAGCTGCAAAAATAAACAAATAAATAAAATACTTAGGAATATACCCACCAAGGAGGTGAAAGATCTCTACAAGGAAAACTACAGAACACTACTGAAAGAAATCATAGATGACACAAACAAATGGAAATATATCCCATGCTCATGGATGGGTAGAATCAAAATTGTGAAAATGACCATACTGCCAAAAGCAATCTACAGATTCAACGTAATTCCCAATAAAATATCATCATCATTCTTCATAGAACTAGAAAAAGAGGCTGGGCGTGGTGGCTCAAGCCTGTAATCCCAGCACTTTGGGAGGCCGAGGCGGGTGGATCACGAGGCCAAGAGATCGAGACCATCCTGGTCAACATGGTGAAACCCCGTCTCTACTACAAATACAAAAATTCAGCTGGGCATGGTGGCGTGTGCCTGTAATC